TATATATATATATATATATATTTTTTTGTCTTTTGTCTTTTACCGGGGACCGGCAACGGGATCGCAACCCTTGGCGCTGCTCCCGCGCCTCGCTCAGCCAGTGAGCGGGAACCGGTCTGTATGTGGGATCCGAACCCTCAGGCGGGAGCGCCGCTGCACTTCCCAAGCGGCGCACTTATCCAGTGCGCCACCAGGCCGGCCCAAAATAGTTTATATTTTTAAAAAAGTGTTGGAGGCTAGCACACGACATTTCGGTATACCAAACTAAAAAATATTTGCATTAGAGTAGTCAGTGCCATATTTAATGTTGTGAGTTCTTACACTGCCTGGACCCCAAACTTTACACATGGCAACTTTCAACAGTCCTTTAGCGGTAAGTATAATAGTAAAATAGAATGAAGACTTTTTCTGTTGTCAATTCCATCAAAAAATGTGATTAGATAACCACTGAATGCATATCTTTCAGTATAAACCCAATGCTAATCTTATCTTCAGTGTACAAATCAGCTTTATAGAGGAACAAAATTATTTAAAATTAGCATTTGAGGGTTAACATGAGGAAAGGTACATCTGAGTATCTTGATATTGGTGGTGGTTATGCAAGGTTACACATATGACAAAATCGCACAGAGCTACACACACAAATGAATGCATATATAATATGAAATCTGAATAAGCTCTATGGATTGAATTGAGCCAATATAAATTTCTTGGTTTTAATATTGTACTGTGGTTGTGTGAGATGTTGTGGGCAGGGGTAGTAGGGGAAGTATGTGTATGGGACTTCTCTGTACATTTTTTTAGTAGCTTCTTGTGAGTCTATTATTATTTCAAAACAAAAAGTTAACCACCTCCCACAGGTAAAAGAAAAATAAGCGGAAAAGAAATTGCTAGAAAAAAAGATATACCTGAAAGTCCCTGTGTACCCCACCGTACCTAATCCCCACTCTCCAGGGTTAGTATTATTCTAATTAGGTATTTTTCATTTCCATGCACATTTTTTTTGTCCTTTTTGAGACCGGCCGCACCGCGCTCAGCCAGTGAGCGCTGTGAGCGCACCAGTCATCCCTATATAGGATCCGAACCCACGGCGGGAGCGCTGCTGCACTCCCAGTGCTGCTGCACTCCCAGTGCTGCACTCTCCTGAGTGCACCACGGGCTCGGCCCTCCATGCACATTTTAAACTTTTTTTCATATATAATATACTTTTTATTTTTATACCTACCACCCTGTCTGGTTTAGCATTTGTCCTAAACAAAAATGTACTGGTTTCGACAATAAATGACATTGTCATACTACTATCACCCCACATAAGTCAAATTCCTGGCTGCCATGCTGTTTCTAGACCCAGAATACAGCTGGGCCATGGCTTCAACCCTGCTTGCTGCTTCATGACTCTGTTCCAGTGGTTGCAGTTTTGAGCCAGGCTATATCTTTTGCTTCCTATATTATCTATTATACCGTGTGTTTGTAACAAAAGGGGATAATTAAAGTGTGAAAGTATTATGTCATCTTGACCAGAAATGTCCCCTTATTGCTCTTAAAAAATTTTTTTGCTAGTTGTGCCAGCTTTTTCTTTTTTAAAGATGACTGGTAAGGGGATCTTAACCCTTGACTTGGTGTTGTCAGCACCATGCTCACCCAGTGAGCTAACCGGCCATCCCTATATGGGATCCGAACCTGTGGCCTTGGTGTTATCAGCACCACACTCTCCCGTGTGATCCACGGGCCGGCCCCCCAGCCTTTTCTTTAAGAAACTGAATTTTCTGTCAAATTTAAAACAAAAAAGATTATTTACATTTTGATTAATTTAAAGGTCTAATGTATTTTAACTTGGGAAGAATTATCTTTATAATATTCATTCTACCCATTCAAGAACACAATATTTCATCTATTCAAATCTTAATGATCTATTCTCAGCACACTCTGTTGCTTTTCAGTACTTCATCTTGTTAAATATAGTTCTAGAACGTTATGCTTTCGGAGAAGTTTGCTACTTAAAACCCTTTCTCAATAGGCTAATTACGCAATTCATTTTTTGTTGGCTTATGCTATATCCAGCTTTTCTTAGCTTTTATTAATTCAGATATGCCTCTTGGTTAGGCTGTTGAAAGGGTTTACTAGAGATACACACAGATATTTAAGCGCATGAGCTATGGAGCTGGGCAGATAAGGATCAAAATCTTTGTGCCATTTACTATCTAACTAAGGATCAAATGAGCTATTTCATATAAAAGGCTCAGTGTTTCAATCATAATGTTCAATACGTAATTAAAAATAACCATAATATTTAAGTAAAATCCACCAAAATTCTGCTTTTTCTCCATGATGACCACTTAGATGCTCTCATTCAAAAATATCAAAATTTATTAAGAAAAAAAATGTTGGTACTCCTGCTACAATTTGATAGACTATTATTGAGTAGTCTGCCTACTGCATAATCCACTACTAGCAACCTATTATTACTACTATTTTTTTTTTTTTTTTGGTAGCTGGGTAGTACAGGCATTGAATCCTGGATCTTGATGTTATCAGCACCACTCTAACCAACTGAGCTAACCAGCCAGCCCAGTACTATTTCTCTTAATCCTTCAAACTAAGTAGGCACCTTAGCATCACCATTAAAACCTAGTAGTGCATATCTTAAGATGCATAGAGTGTTTTAAAAAAGAAATATGGTTTTCATTCTTACCTTGCATTAGGGGTAAGACTTCGTAAGACGTGAGTCAGGGAACTAAGTGGTAGGGATCCAGACTGTTTAACTAGAAGAGAATTCTCATAGGAGGTTTCTTCAGTATAAGGACTATATGTAGTAGTTTCATACCAGAGCCAGTTATAAAGACTCTGCTTTGCATGATCCCACACTATAGCACATGATCAAAGAAAATAATAATTACAAATTATTTTCATGTTTGTCGGGTTACTAGATTCTACTCTAGGAAAGAATGAGAAAGCATAAAATAAAAAATGAATGCTGAAATTTTTCTTTTTCCCACTTCCTCATCCAAATTAGTAACTTATAATTTAATTCATTGTCAGTCAACATGTGAACACTTGTACATTAAATAGAAATTAAAATATCTTAGCACTACCAAGAAATTTTTTTAAAAATTTAATAATTTAACATTTTGTTCTATAGGATTATCACAAAGTCTCTGAATTAAGTTCATAAAATAAATGTTGCAAATGTGAACACTTGTACATTAAATAGAAATTAAAATATCTTAGCACTACCAAGAAATTTTTTTTAAAATTTAATAATTTAACATTTTGTTCTATAGGATTATCACAAAGTCTCTGAATTAAGTTCATAAAATAAATGTTGCAATACCACAAAGAGTAGAAAAAGCCCAAATTAATAGCTAATTCTCCTTCTCCTCATGTTACTTCAGGTGTAAAACAACCCCCTTAGTATGTGAATTTTTATTTCCAAGAATTACAAGGGTACATGGAAAAATTGAATTAAAAGATAATACAAATCCTGCTGTGAAGGATCTTTGAAGATAATACAAATCCTTCTGTAACAGAGGGGTCTTTTTGGAGATCCCTTGTATGTTCTAAGTCAGGTTGAGTACATCTATCTTTTTTGCAACCTGTGTCTTTAAACATGTAACAGGGAAAAGGTATACTGAAAAACAAAAATTTTGTGACTTACAACATTAAGAAAATTAATTTTGTAAGACTGTTATCTCAAGAAAGAAAAATAGCAATATTTAACTTACTGAGAGGAGCATTGAGGTGATCAATAGATGCTATAAGGTGTATGTTACGCAAAGATGACAACTGTCCAATAATTTGCTGGCTCTTGTCTCCTCTCAACATTTGGCTATCCAAATTGTGGATAAGAAGGAAGAGTTCTAAAGAAGAATCTAAAAAGAAATGGAATCCAGTTATTATTTTTAGTATTTGTTTAAGTCCCTACCACACACAATGCCTAGGTATTGAAGAATATATCAAAGTAGTATAGGATAAAATAATGACTGCTCAGGGGTATGTAATTTATTTGAGAAGATATGTCATTCACTATAAAACAAGCAAGACATTATGGTTAGTATTTGAATCAGACCCTAAAGAAAGCAGATTTAATTAATTAATTTATTCAAAAAGAGCTGTAACACTAGAAAGCAGTTTTAATAAGGCAAAGGAAATAAGGCAAGATGCATATCTGTAGTGAATCTATGCATGTTGCATTGTAAGGTAGGAGTGAAAGGTGGGAAAAAAAAGACTTCCCATTATGCATCAAAAGATTATATAGAAAACCCTAACTATCACAAAAACCAAAGGAGACCAAAAAAGAGGGGAAGGGATTTAGGATATTGCTCAAGGAATCAGGAAATTCAGATAAATAAATATAAAGTCAGTGAAGGAAGAATTTAAAGGATGAAGCTGACAACACCATCAATATAGCAGAGATCAAGATAAAGCATAAGCCAAGATCAATTGGCTCAGTAAGAAGAAAATTGCAGGTGATCATCAAGCATACAGTTCAGGTAGCAAAGAAGAAAAATTAAGAAGCAAACAGGTAAAAACTAGAAGGTGGGACGTGTCTTCAAAAACTCTGAAATCATATGAAAACAGGAAAATAAAACAGTGTGGAGGGCTGGCCAGTTAGCTCCCTTGGTTAGAGCACAATGTTGTAATACCACGGTCAAGGGTTCAGATCCCTGTACCAGCCAGCCACCAAAGCAACAACAAAGATAGTGCAGGGGGCAGAAGAATCAGATAAATTTTTTTCTATGCATGTTTAAAAGCCAAGGATATTGGTAAGTCTCTCAGGAGACTTAGTAAGAAATGGCAGAGAGAGTAAGTAAATTTCTCTTCTACTACAGATAGATGGAACAAGAGCGAATATAGTGAAAAAGAGTCTGAGATGACACATTTTGAAAATCCCAGTTTCCTTAAATTCTGGAAGTCATCATAGTCAAAAAACAAAAACACACATATATACAGACACATTTAAAATAATTTAGGCATCTATTTTAAGGAGCATACAACCACTATTGGGCTGTTTTACAAATATCTGTAAGGGATAAAAAGTAATGCTTTTGTTATTCTATAAGTGGGAAAACATATCAATATTAAACATTAAAATGGTTGTTGAAAACTAAAGAGGGTCTGGAAAAATAAGCCAAAATTATTATAGGTGCAAAATATTATAGCAACTGATTTTTAATTAAATAAGGTTGAAAGAACTGAAAACAAACTGAACAGATTTGTTTATCTTAGGATAGACCTGCTAGTGATCCAACTGTATATGCCTACACAGTAAATGAACAAGGAATATTCATATATGCAGTTAGTTCTTGGGTTCAGTGAAATATATATACTTGATTCTCGCTATGTTATATTCTACAAAGTTGCTGCAAACACTGAATTACTGAACAATTGTTCCTAGAGGAAATACAGGGTTAGGTTCCTACGAACCTCTAGCCATAACATTTTCATCAACTGATCATTACATAATTTGGTTTTATGTGTGTTTCTGTTTAAAAACACCTTTATTTTTATTTATTTACTTACCTACTTTTACGTATTTATTTGGCACACCAGTCAGCTATTAATATACATTGTTGATCTGTTAATATTGAACTCTCAGTCAGCAGCACTATAACTCATACCTGAAGGAAACTTATATAACACTAGTATTTTTTCCACAAGGCACACCATATTCTTCTTGTGCTTAGGAATATCAGACAGCATTTTAGCACTATGCATAGGGGACATTTTAAACAGTCAAATCACCAACCAAAAAAACCCACTTATATAACACTAGTATTTTTTCCACAAGGCACACCATATTCTTCTTGTGCTTAGGAATATCGGACAGCATTTTAGCACTATGCATAGGGGACATTTTAAACAGTCAAATCACCAACCAAAAAAACCCACAAAAAATATGAAAAACGTGGCACTATATAGACTGGGAAAAGGACAGTTGTTTACAGTATGAGAGCTGAAACAAGAAGCAACACATTGCCTTGTTTGACTTCAGATGGGAATGTGTGCATTGGGCAACTGAAATTTTTTGTTACTCTCCACATGTCCACACATAACTGCGAAAGCACCAAGAATACTGACTTAAGAGATTACAAATACATGTTAGTAAGTAGGTGAATTTGCAAATATAGAATTTGTGAATGATGAGAATCAGATGTACTTGTTATGAAATGTGTAAAGTTGGTATAAAAATGTGTACTGTCCATATTTATAAAGAACAATAGATATGTGTTTAGAAACCTGAAAGAAATTTGCGACAGAAAACTTTTCAGCTAGGAAACAAAAAGAAGAGCAAAATTAAGTATGCATTAGGATCTTGACAAAAATAAATAAAAATGCTTTGGAAATGGAGTTAGAATTATCATTCTAAAGAAAATTATCTATCAAATCAGTTAAGCACTATCAATTATTCCTTTTAATTCTTAAGCAACTACTAAAAGACAATTAATTGTTAGAGTCTAATAATCTTATTTCCAATATCTGATATGCTTACATCACCAAAACATTCACATCAAAAGAATAACAAAAAAAGATCTTATCATATGAAATTATCCCAATAGAATTAGAATATTTATAAAAATATTAAACAATATGATCTTAATATGATATAAAATTATCTCAATGCAGTGATGTTTACTCAGAATAAATAAATTAGAATGTTTATAAAAATATTAATATAAAAATATCAGACAAAGATGTTCCACTCAACTAGAGGCACTTCACACTGGAAAGTCAAAACCAGAAAATTATTCTGAAATAAGAGGCTTTTGTTTTTTTTTTTTTTTTTTTTTTAAAAGATGGCCGGTAAGGGGATCTTAACCCTTGACTTGGTGTTGTCAGCACCACGCTCAGGCAGTGAGCGAACCGGCCATCCCTATATGGGATCCGAACCCGGGGCCTTGGTGTTATCAGCACCGCACTCTCCCGAGTGAGCCACGGGCCGGCCCAAGAGGCTTTTGACTATACAAATTTAAGACAGTACGAATAACTCCTTCCTCTTTCCATGAAGTTCACAGAAAAAAGAAAGGACAAATAATTTTAGAGAAAACCAAATCAGCATTTAGATAAATGACATTATTAAAGTAATCCTCATTTCTGTATATACAAATATTGTACGTGAACAAGTTGAGGTGGATGCTTAACTGCACCCTAAAGCTATAGAGCATCTACTTCATGTTACCTTCTTTAAATTTGTTTATTATCCAGTCTAGCTGATCCAGTACACTTCGGAAAGTACCCATATGATTGAGGACTTCTTCTGTTATAGAATTCAGGACCTATATGATAAAAGTGCAAGAGGTAGCATATCAATTATAATTTATTCTGTCTTACAGGATAAATACAACTAGAAAATCAATCCTTTTTTATAAATTAAAAATGGATTTGGATTTCCTATAAAGTCTGAAAAATCACTTTAAAATAATTCTACTGGTACTTGTATATCTAATTCATTTTTTTGAATAAGTTAGTGGCTAAAAGTAAACAGGTAAAAATAGCAAAGATGTAAAGATAAGAGGGCAGCAAAAACAAATGAAAAAACCCCAACAATATGAGAAACATTAGAAAAATATAGATTTATCAAAGGACATAGGAAACAAACACTAAGGACACTTAAAAAAAGAACTACTACACTGGATTATATCCAGCACCCAAAAGCTTTAAATTACTTTTCAAATGATTAAGAGATACAAGTATTTGAAATAAAAATGATCTATGATAAATGTATTATAAAACTACAAACTATTATTCATATTTTTATTATTTTTAGAGTACCAAAATGATATAAAAATATACTAAAATGGAAGACCCCACAATCCTGTCCTTCAGAGAAGTACTGTTGATATTTGGTGGTGTAGTAAACAAAGCTAACGTTTACCCCTAAGGTTTAATACATGCCAGTTACAAAGTAAGAAATTCAAAGATGGGGTTTCAAAGCTAATCCCTCTGAGGTGAAAAACATGATCTTAAGCACTATGCAATTCTTCTACTAGCATGAAGACTAAGATAAAAATCCTTTAAAAATTTAATGCTCCAGAATGAGAAAGAACGTCCTCATTAATGTAAGAGTATAAATTGGCAGGGAATGTAATATTGTTCCCTTTAACATTTTTGAAACTTACTGATTTCACACTGATTCCAGGGAAGAAGCCATTGATGACAACGTGAATGGAATCTTGCAGCATGGTGGTTCGAAATCTTTCTAGTAGATCTCTCTTAGAACCCAAACCATACAGAACAATGTTGAACCCAAGGCTGTTAGGAAAGAGAGTATTCACAAAATTAAAGTTCAATACCTCTTACTACCAATTTTATCATCAACCAGTTTCCTTAATTTAATCTTATAAAGAATACAGGAAGAACAGCAATGGCTAAATAACTAAGTCACTGATTCCCAACTTAGACAAAGTAAAGGCACAGTTTTATTATCTGCACACCAATCTTATAGTTCCTACTTCTTCAGCAGCTTTCTCTGCAGCTATTACCTTTCCAGTGACAGATGCCTAAAAGCAAGGGAGACTATCACTAGTAAAAGGCACGAAAAAGTTTTCCAGGCTGAAGAAGAGTTTAAATTGATAGATTAAATTGTAAAGGTAAGCAGGGACCAAGTAACAAAGATCTTGTTAAGTCATTCTAAGATGTTAATTAGAGTTTATTCTAAGGACAATAAGCGTTTAAAAGTAACTAAAAAGGGGCCGGCCCGGTGGCGCACTTGGTAGAGTGTGGTGCTTGGGAGTGTGGCGGCGCTCCCGCTGAGGGTTCGGATCCCATATAGAGAGAAAAACCCCTCAGTGTATACATGAAACAGTAGATTAGATGCAAGAAGAGAAAATTAGTGAAAAACAGATCTGAAGAATTTACCTAGAATGCAGATTAGAAAAGGGGATGGAAAATATGAAAGAGAAGTTAAAATATATGAGGAATGAATGAAAAGGTCCACCATAAGCTTACTGGAGTTCTCAAAGGAAAGAATAAATAAAATGGAGGAGATGCAATATTTAAAAGATAATGGTTGAGCTATGCATATTTTATCACACTAAAAAAAGATAATGGTTGGGCCGGCCCGGTGGCGCACTGGATAGTGCGCCGCTTGGGAAGCGCGGCGGCGCTCCCGCCCGAGGGTTCAGATCCCACATACAGACCGGCTCCCGCTCACTGGCTGAGTGAGGCGCGGGGGCAACACCGAGGGTTGCAATCCGTTGCCGGACACGGAAAAAGACAAAAAAAAAAAAAAAGGTAATAACTGTAAGGTTTTAAGTAGGAAAGTAATATGATCTTTTTAGAAAGATCTGAATGAATAAAAGAGGAACAATACTGCCAAAGACGAAGGACTTGAATCAGCTGTCACAGAGAAAAAATGTAAAGTGTCAAGAGCTTTACAGGAGGTAAAATCAATAATATTTGGAGACTGATTAGACGTGGAGGGTGAGGCAAAGGGAATATTTAAGAGGACTCAGTTTTCTGCCATAAGCAAGTACGCGAATGGAGTAACGGACATTTAGTGTGCTGAATACAGCAGGTACTGGTGGGAATGATGGGTTTAAGATGATTTCAGTTTTATGAGTGTTGAATTATTTACAGGACATCCAAGTGGAAACTTCCAATATACATTCAGATACCTATGTCTGCTACTAAGAATTAGGTGTGGATTGGAGATAATGGTTATGGAAGTCATTCGTATTCAAAAGGCAGCTGAAGCCAAAAGAGTGAAGATAACCCAGAACACCAAGCACTAGGGGTCAAAGCTAAAATCCAACAACTCCGTGATTGTTTACGGAGGTCTCAGAAACAGTACTTATTCGATGTTCTCTGCCAATGCTGAATAGCCTAGAAGTAGAAGAACAGAAAAGAGATAACTCCCAAAGGCAGAGATTAGCAAGGTTGAAACAGCAAAAAGAAAGAGGCAAGGGAATTCAGAGAGCTAGCAGCTCCATTGAAGTAGCTGACTATAAAGTCTAGGCTGGGAAGCAAAGCAAATCAAGTTATCTGAGTTGACATACTGGGAGAAGGAAGAGTTGATGAGCTGGGAGGATGGGATTAGAACGAAGAGCTACTTTATACATTTATAATGTACTGATCCATAAATAGTTACTGAGAGAAGCTGAGATCCTTGCAGGGAAGATAATCAGTCTCTTCCTAGAATAACCTTGGATATATTATTGGCAAAAGAAAACCAGGATTAAGAAGCAGAATTATGACAATTCCCATGTTCTTACTGCTTGGTGGACCTGCCTTCTTGTTTACCCCAGTCACTGTGTAACTGTGAACATGTGTGTATATTCACATTAGAATACATTTTAAACACTTCCTTATGTTAAGGTCTTTTTAATAAAAGTATAATAGTAATTATAGTTTAAAAATACTATGTTTTGTTTGTTTTATTCACTATTCTAGGTGTTTTAGTAGAAATTAAAAATTTAACCTGAGGCATCTGAAAAATTAAAAAATATTCTAAGAAAGAATTTTAAAGTGGTAAAATAATGTTTACAGAACAAATCTGCTCATGAAATTCTGAAAGTCTACAGTACATGCATACAGAATTAGATTAAAAGTAAAGATATATTCTTTCATTTCAGGAACTTAGCTGTGGAAAACTGGATTAAAATCTAATTGATATATTTATTAATCTTGACAAATTACATTTTCAAATATTTTTATGAGTAATAACTGAAATGCTATTTACCAATGGCTGTCAAGTCTGATAACTTAGAAAATACATGTTTCCTAAAAACTGTATAATTTCTGAGAAGTCATAATAAAAATGCCATTTCTGTATTTGAGTCATAAAATCAGGAAAACACCTATTTTTATATTTATTTTTATATGTAAAAAATATATCAAGTTCATTGGAACAACTGAATGTTACTTTGATTTAACATAAACATTTATATAAATATATTTTACAAGGGTTTGCAATGATAATACTTACTGTAACTGCAGCATCCATTTATGAAATAATTTTTCATACTGTTGATTTAGTTGTTTAAGTTCAGCCGAAAAGGAAGGAGAAACCTTACTCAATAATTTACACAAAGTTTGCTTTAAAAAAAAAGAAGGAAAGAAAATAACACTCAAACCACATACATCAAATCAATCTGAACTAAGACTATTTCTTTAGAGGTAGAGGTAAGAAGAGGCCAGTAGCAGAAATGTTACTTTAATCAGGTTTGGCAACAAGTGCATCAACTGAATACACATAATACCGTAAATATGATTTAAATATTGGTTTCCTTAAAATTTTTAACATTCTTTTTAGCACAAATATGTAATAACAGTAAATAATTGTTAAGTTTTGTCTAGAATCATTTAAATGATTGTAAATTCCATGGGCTGGCCCGTGGCTCACTCGGGAGAGTGTGGTGCTTATAACACCAAGGTCCAGGGTTCGGATCCCATATAGGGATGGCCGGTTAGCTCGCTGGGTGAGCATAGTGCCGACAACACCAAGTCAAGGGTTAAGATCTCCTTACCGGTCATCTTTAAAAAATAAATAAATAAATAAATGATTGTAAATTCCAAATATAATGCTTTAATTTCTAAAAAGATCATTACCATAAGGAGATGATTAAACCTGCCTCCCAGCTTTGACAACAAATCCAGACAGACTTTTAAAAACCTATGAAGGGCCGGTTAGAGTGCAGCCTTAAAACACCAAGGGCATGGGTTCAGATCCTAATACTGGCCAGTCCCCCCTCCCCGCCGCTCCAAAACCCTATGGGTTTGACAACACTGAGGGTTGCGATCCGTTGCCGGACACGGAAAAAGGCAAAAAGACAAAAAAAAAATAAAAAATAAAAAAATAAAAAGTAAATTCCAAATATAATGCTTTAATTTCTAAAAAGATCATTACCATAAGGAGATGATTAAACCTGCCTCCCAGCTTTGACAACAAATCCAGACAGACTTTTAAAAACCTATGAAGGGCCGGTTAGAGTGCAGCCTTAAAACACCAAGGGCATGGGTTCAGATCCTAATACTGGCCAGTCCCCCCTCCCCGCCGCTCCAAAACCCTATGGGTTTGAAAAATGTAAAAGCTTAAGGTTAACAGTTCAATATTAATTCTCAGAAAACATTAAAGGTTCTTTATAATTAGTAAAATAAACTGTATCACTGCTCCTCTTCCAAAAGTTATTTCTAACAAACCTTTTATCTTTGATAAGACAATTTTTAAAAATAATATAAATAAACTGAGAAAGGTGAATTGTTTTGCACCGAAACCTTAGAATTTAATGCTTGTGAATAAAACAAAACTCATTTTTTAAAAAAATGAAAATTCCAGCAAAAAGCTGTGTATGTACCTTTACCCAGGAACTACACATTGTTTTCATGATTCTACCTTTAAAGTAAAATGTTCTTTTAGTACTGAAATTAGAGTTGCAATCAACATTCCAGGCATTCTGACCTGTACAGTTTTTATTTATCTACATACTTAAAGAGAAGCAGGACTACCTCTAAGTAAAACTGTTAAGTAGGTAGCTCTAAAAAATCTCTTTCATCCCTTCTGATATTTAGAGCTCTGAAAAAACCAGAAAGCACAAGTATCATTTTTAGTTGTCATTTATACTGGATTATCTGAGCATACTCACACTTGAGTGTGAACTCTGGAATGTTATCTCATCTATGCACTTTCATTTCAAACTTTTAAATTTGTAGAGTTTTAGAATTGCACTACTGGCCCCAATACTTACCCCCTCCCTGCATCCATTCCCTTTGCTACGTGACTCTGCAACCCCTCTCACTAAATGGATTGAGTATAGTTCCCTACCTTTTGACTTTATTTTCAGTCATGTGATTTGCTTTGGCCACTAGAATGAGGCAGAAGTGACACCGCCAGTTTTGAATCTAGCTTTTAAGGGGTCATGTGTTTCTCTACCACTTCTCTTACACCTCTGCCACTGTCATGAGAACATGCCTCAGCTAACCTGGTGGGTCCAATGAGGAATAGAGATAAGGAGCAAATCCTAGATCCATCAACCCAGAGCTGAGTTGAAGACATGAGAAATAAATGTTTATTGTGGGCCGGCCCGGTGGTGCACTCAGTAGAGTGCGGCGCTTGGGAGCGCGGTGGCGGGCGGATCCCATATAGAGACCGGTCCGCTCACTGGTTGAGCGTGCCGGCCCAAACTTCATTCACTTCTGATCTGTCCATTTTCCTCCAACATCTCTCCAAGTTTTTTAGCATTCTAAGCTTCAGAAAACCTGACAGCAGACATTGCTGGCTGCCTATTGACTCTTTCCTTCCTTATTATTAACATACCTTTGATTGTATTTGGGGTGGCAATGTCCTCACTTAGAAATATTCACCTCCTCAGATTCCCCTTCAGCCAGATGTGATTATGTGACACAGTCTGGCCAATGAATATAAGCAGAATTCTACTAGGTGTGGTTTCTGAGAAATCTACTGAGTTCCTGATATAAGGGGACAGTTTCAATTGCAGTGTCCCTTTGCCATTTTGGGATTACCCCTCTTCCTGTCCGGAATATGGCCCAGCTTCCTGGAAGCAGAATAGAGACTTAAGGATCCTACGTAAGGATGGTGGAGCCTGACTAAGGAGACATTTGAGCCCCTGATGACTTCTTAGAGGGCTACACCTGCTCTGACGTGCCCACAAAAAATGGGCCGGCCCGGTGGCGCACTGCTATAGTGCGCCGCTTGGGAAGCACGGTGGCGCTCCCGCCAGGGGTTCGGATCCCACGTGCGGACCGGCCGCTCGCTGGCTGAGCGGGGGGCGGGAGCAACACCAGGGGTTGCGATCCTGTGGCCGGTCACGAAAAAAGACAAAAAGGGAAAAAAAAAAAAAAAAAGAATTCCAATCCAGTGAATTATTCACCATTTATATAATACAATAAGTACAGCTGGCCTTCCATACCTGCATCCTCAGATTCAACTAACCACAGATCAAAATATTTGGGGAAAAAACCCAACAATAAAAAATAACAATATAATAAAAAACGATACAAATAAAAAAACAATACAACTACTTACACAGCATTTACAATGTATCAGGTATCATAAGTAATATACAGATGATTTAAAGTATATGAGAGGATGTAAACAGGTTATGTGAAAATATAGTCATATGCTGCTTAACAATGTTTTGGTCAATGATGAACCACATATATGATGGTGGTCCCATAAGATTATAATGGCTATACCATAAAGCCTAGCTATGTAGTAGGCTGTACCATCTAGGTGTAAGTACACTCTATGATGTTCACACAGCGAGGAAATCACCTAACAATGTATTTCTCAGAGCATATCCTGTTAAGAGATACATGACTGTACTGTGCCATTTTATATAAGAAAATTGAGCATCAATGGATTTTGGTATTTGCAGGGGTTCCAGGAACCAATTCCCCATGGACACTGAGGGACAACTGTATGTAATAATTATGTAACATTAATTTGTGTTTTGGCTGGCCAGTTGGCTCAGTTGGTTACAGTATGGTGTTACAACACCAAGGTCAAAGGGTTCAGATCCCCATACTGGCCAGCTACCAAAAAAAAAAAAAAAGAAAGAAAGAAAAAACGTTAACTTGTGTTTCATTTGAAAAGAAAAATAATTCTTTTTGTGACAACACCAAGGTCAAAGGGTTCAGATCCCCATACTGGCCAGCTACCAAAAAAAAAAAAAAAAGAAAGAAAGAAAAAACGTTAACTTGTGTTTCATTTGAAAAGAAAAATAATTCTTTTTGTATTCACTTACTCTTCCAATTTATTGCTTATGTAGTATATTTTTCAAGTCACAGTAAGAAAAATTTAGAAGTAACATTCCTTGCAACATACCTGATCCAGTTTAGCTCTCTTTAGCTTCTGCAGTGTTCTATCAGAGGTTAAAACTTTTGAACTGCTATGAGCTTCAAAATATTCTTCTACCAAGTCACTCTGAAAGTGGACAGAGTAAAGTCAGTTCTCAGTAGTTTCTTGTCTTATATCAAAACTAGACAGTAACATTATGTAAAATAGGACATGTAAAATTCTTTATTTGATAGTATTTTCTTTGTAAAGCAACAACACAGGTTAAAGATCAAGCATATTTAATTCCAGTAATAAAACTGAGTAACTCTTAAGATCATAAAAGTTAAAGAAATGACTAATTGAAGTAGTCTGTTCATAAGAAAGATGGTTTTACATATCAGGACCTTTGTTTCTCTTCAAACAGTCCTAGCAAATCCTTTAATATTAGTATGGCTGAAGTACTGTGAAAATGGGAGGAAATCAACAGCAAGGTTAAAAACAACAACAAAAAAACCCTAAAAAGACTTACCTACGCTTCCAGTGAAATAGCTCAACACTTGTTCTGATTTGGGGCAAGATTAACCTTTAGGGTGGTAACGATGGGATGGAAAGCTATTCAAGCAGTAAAAAGTCTCCTAGATTGCTCTGAACCTTTATGTAGAGCACAAAGATAATTAGCCTTTTATCAAGCCAGGCTTCTGGCACAGTTTTTCCAAACAACTCAATGTGCATCAGTAACCACATCATTTATTACTTATACTGACTTGAAAATCAACAATGTTGCAAATACAAAGCCATATTAAAAGAGATACACTGTGAAGTCTTACCTCCAACTAATAGATATTTAAAAGCTTATTTTTATACAACCGAATTGAGATGTCACCTTTTTCATATACTATGGTACTGATTCATAAATATGCACACAGGCCAGAATAGAAAGCCCTGAAATAGGAAACAAGTGTATGTGGGAATTTTCATGTAAAGCTGAGAAAATACAGAAAAGTGAAGAAAAAAATGATGTTGATCCCTCATATGAATCTCTTCTTAGGGTAGTTTATTACTGAGATATTACACAATTTTTCTTTAAAGTCTCTCACTTCACTTACTGTTTTATCTCTTTTCATTTTCTTAGAAGGTGTTTCTTTGCAAGCAGGAGCTGAAACTACTCTATTCTGAGCTTGAATCTTCTGGCTGAATACAACTGTGTTAGTGTCCTCTTCATATTCCTGTGCAACTCTTTCATCATCCTCTGAGTTGGAAGCAGAATACTCACTTTCACTGTCAGAATGGGACCTTGAAACTGTGGAGGAAAGGAGAACCACTGGGAACATCTGACAGTTTGACAAGAGAGGCACTGTGGGGTGATGGTAAGAGCGTGGGCTTTGGAGTAAGACTTTGCATTCTGGTTTTGCCATTACTTACCTGTGATTCCACCAGAGCTAGTTACATAAATTCTCTTAGCATCAGTTTCCTCCTTTATCAAATGAGGATTACGTTGAAATGCATGTAAAGCAACTAATAATGTCTGACACCAAGTAACTGAGATAGAAACTGTCAACCATACCCAATACCATTCTCCTTTCTTCTTCCTTGATAGCAGAACTCCATTGTTGTTAAATATGGCAATGTGCCTCACATGATTGATTCATCAATCATGGTAATCATCTGTCAGATGCGTGCTTTCCTAGCCTCCTTTGCAACTAGTGTTGGCTATGTAACCCTTTGACCAATGAGACTTGAGGGGAAATCTGCTGAAAGTTCCTAAGAATGATTTTCCTTACTTAAGGAAAGCTCCTATTTATACCCATAGTTTAAAGCTAAGGAAGCCATTTTGTAATATGAAGTATCAAACCTAAGTATGAAAAATGCTGGTGGCAGAGCAAAAAGATAGGGAAAACCTGGGTCCTTAATGACACTGTTGAGTCCCTACACTAACCAAGGAACTTGTATATATAGACTTCTTATCACGTGAGACACTTAAGTGTCTATGGCCTAAACCACTTCTGTAGAATTTTCTGTTGCTGCCTCCTGACAACGCCATTCTAACTGATATAGCACTCAATAAATAACTACTATTATAACTACTGCTAATACATATGCACACTCCATCCCAGAGTTGACTCAAGAATTATAAAAAAGCAATGACAGCCAAGCTGGGGCTGCTAGAACTCAGGGGAAGAGGAGGAGAGACCTATGGAGTGCATGAAGGCAGGAGAAGCCACAATTAGAGAAAGAAAAAAACACTCGGACTGTTTCAAGCCCTGGCTGTGTCCAGGCTGGAGCTGCTGAGCGCATGGAGCAGGAGCTGGCAAAAGCAACAGCTGTGCCCTCAGGATAAAGTTGTTTGGAGGCGGCAGGGGAGAAGAGGGCCTTGGCGACTCCCAGGCCAGCAAGACCACTAATAGGGTTCCCATGGACTCACATAGGAGCAAGGAGCCACAACAACTGAAGAAAAGGAGCCACTCAGAAGCCGGTGAGTCATCGCAAGGGACCAGCACACAGCCCGTCCCATGGGAAGTGTTTGCAGCATGCGCGGTGGGGGAGATGGGTCCACAGGTAGAACACTGAGGCATGGCAAGGACAGCTGATCTGCACCCCTATCAGCAAGGGACCATTCAGAGGAGACTGGTCGGGAATACAGAATTGCATGGGGTGCAGTTTGACGAAAAGACTCAGGCCCAGACCAGAGTTTCAGATCTCTCAATAGCTAGAAGTACCCATAAAGTCAACCATTAAAACCTGAGCTGCACAAAAAGCCTTCCCTGGGGAATCAGCAGCAAAGCAGCAATCTAGCTCAACCACACAGCTCAGTACTTGTCCCCACAGGAAGTTCCCCCAGTTTAGAAGTAAGGAAAGGACAACAAATTAGTTCCAGCACAGAGTTTAAATGGTGGGAATAGCAAATATTGCAACACAGAACTGAAAGAAAAAACAAAGTACCTGCAATCAGAGACAAAGTTTTATATTAATTAGTAAAGATCTCATTTTACCAAAGAACACCTATAACACATAGAAGTACTGGAAGTCCCCTGGGATACCAAGCCAGAAAAGGTGGACGGTGGGGGGGCCAGCAATCCTCCCCAACACCCACAACCAATCCCGAGGGTGGGGGATGAGGGCCTTGGCCATGCCCCCCCAACACCCAGCCAGCCCAGCAGCGACCACTGAGCTATTGCAGGAAGTGCCCCAGGCTCTCCCAAGCAAAGATAGTGAAGGGCCGAGGGCTTCAGCTACAACCCCCCTGACACAGACAGCCAGCCCAGAGGCAACCACCGAGCCACTGCAGGAAGTGCCCAGGGTTCTCCCAACCCAGGACGGTGGGGGGCCAAGGGACTCAGCCACACACTCCCAATGCATGCAACCATCCCAGCGACAACCACCAAGCACCCCAAGCTCTCCCAAGCAAGGGCAGTGGGGGGCCACTGGCCTCAGCCATACCCCCGACATATGCAACCAGCCCAGCAATGACAACCAAGCCACAGCAAGAAAGGTCCCGGGTTCCTGAGCTGGGACAGTGGGAGGTGAGGGCTTTTCCGCACCCCCCTGATATCTGCACCCAGCCCAGCAATGATCAAGCCACTGCTGGAAGTCCCCCACCCCCATCTCCCCTACGGGAATGAGGGAGGTTTCACAGGGCTCAGTCCTGCCCCTCCTCCTCCCTCCCTCTTCCATCACATTTCTTCCCCTTTCCCCTCTCCCCCTCCCTCCCAACTGCTGCACAACAACATCCTAGAATGTAAAAAATAATATTAATAAAATTTTATTTTCTTTAAAAAAAGTAAGAGTGCTATGAAGTCCAAACCTCGAAAAGAAAGGACTATAGCATAAAGCCCTGATGTTTGATTAGAAATGACAATGTTAGCTAATATTACTATTGCCAAGGGGTCAACACCAAGAAAGGTGTTGACATCTTTCTGAAATATAAAGGTCAACAAGTTATTTGCCTCAAAGTTAAATATTCAGAAATCTAAAACCATTTTTGATTTCCCAGAAGACAGGACCCATGTCTGTTTACTTATAGCATTCAGTACAACTATGAATATATAATATTATTTCACAATTAAAATTCTAAATAAATCAATAGAACCACTTCCAAATTGTCTCAAAACAAATAAACTAAAAGGCACGTTATTTTATTGGAGAGCTTTTTTTTTTTTTTGGTGGCTGGCCCATAGGTATCTGAACCCTTCACCTCAGTGTCATAACACAGCACTCTAACCAACTGAGCTAACCGGCCAGCCTCTGGACAGACATATCAATTGACTTCAATATCCATTGACCATAATGTGAAAGACAGAGTGCTAAGTGTTAGAGTTAAAAAGATAAGATACAGGCCTTGCTATTAAGGAACCTATAGTTTGAGGACATGAGCATATCCTTTCTTTCATAAAAAGAAATAGCAATAAGTAGTTATAACAATTATTATAAAAGATAATAACAACACTTGTTAAGCTATACCAAAATCAAGTACTACACTAAGCACTTTTGAGGTCCTTTATTTCAGTTAATCCTCAAAACAAGTCTAAGGCTGGTACCATCATTATACCTATTTTACAAATGAAAAAAATTAAGGCACAGAGAGGTCCCAGTAAGTAGTAGGCCAAAAATAAAAACCAAGCAGTCTACATCTAGAACCTTACTTAACCATTACTGCCCCTTGTCTAGATGTTGCTTTTTATAAAAACTTCGTGCAAAAAGAAATACATACCAATTAACCTTTTTCTTAGACTATGAGGTGTTGTTGACAGAAATTCACTTTTGTCATTGTTCTGTTTAAAAATAAAAAAAGCATTATAATTAAATAATAACAGGAAAATTAATGACTGATCTGAGTGAAAGGACAGAAAAGAGAAATATTTTGCTTTCAATAGAATACATTAGAACTAGATGAGTCTAATTTCCAGAACTAGAAGATAATAACAAATGAATTTGTTGGAACAAAAACTAGAGTATAACAACAAAAACAACATAACAAATTATAGAGGATTACTAGAGTGATTCTAGCTAGAAAATGAATTCCAGAGTTTTTACAAATGTACTTTTTATTTTTATTTTTCCCGCTGGCTGGTATGGGGATCTGAACCCCTGACCTTGGTGTTATAAACAAATGTACTTTTTATTTTCATGTACTATTGTTACTATGTAAAGACGTGTATATCAGACTTTTGAACCACTTTTCACCTTACGGATTAGTACAATATTTTTAAAAAGCTAATAATATGCAGAGATAATGAGAATGAAAGGAAATGGGCACAACTTATTGCAATGAGCATTGCAATGGGCCTTTTATTATAATGAGAATGAAAGGAAATGGGCACAACTTATTGCAATGAGCATTGCAATGGGCCTTTTATTTTTTTATTTTTATTTATTTATTTTTTTAAAAGATGACCGGTAAGGGGATCTTAACCCGTGACTTGGTGTTGTCAGCACCACGCTCACCCAGTGAACTAACCGGCCATCCCTATATGGGATCCGAACCCGTGGCCTTGGTGTTATCAGCACCACATTCTCCCGAGTGAGCCACAGGCCAGCCCTGCAATGGGCCTTTTAATGTACTAGAAATTTCGTGGTTTTAAAGTATTACTTTCTGTGAGGAGGAAAGAGACTTCTACTTTTTTACTTTCTGTATTTAAAAGAAATTTAACTTTTTACAGAAATATAAAGTGTTTTCTTCTTGCATAATACTTTAACAACAATAATTTTCTAGCACATTAAAATGTCCACTGTTAAATACAGGGTGCTTCAAAAAGTTCGTGGAAAAACTGAATTAAAAGATAAAGTGAATCTATGAACTTTCTGAAGACCCCCTTGTACGTTAACTTCTTTTTTTTTTTTTTTTTTTTTTTTTATAAAAGATGACTGGTAAGGGGATCTTAACCCTTGACTTGGTGTTGTCAGCACCACGCTCACCCAGTGAGCAAACCGGCCATCCCTATTTGTGATCCGAACCCGTGGCCTTGGTGTTATCAGCACCGCACTCTCCCGAGTGAGCCACTGGCCGGTCCCGTACATGTTAACTTCTAACAGTACTGATAAAAACACAAATTACACTGTTGTTTGTCAACATGAAAATATGACAAAAAATTTAAGTCTGTTGTCTTGTGATAGGTTGTTGGTGTTAGTTACAAATGTTAATAAAGTTTGATTTGGGATATTAAGAATAGTACTATAGTAACTGAGTTAATCCCTTACAATGGGTTTATGAAGTATATTACACACAGTATGTTTCAAATTTTTTGGATCAAGATCTTCAAATTTTTTTTTTTTTTTACATTTGACATCTTGACATGTATATATATAACTGAAAAAAATTATAATTAAAAAATACTTACAAAATAGAAAGTTTATATTGTTCTACATTTCATTTTTTAAAATGCAGGTATATCCTACTAAACTGATTTCAAGATTGAGAATTGAAATAACTTGCATTTACACAGCTTAATTATCAAGTCTCAGAACAACCATATCAAAATAAACATTTCAGAAAATTCTTGGTCATAAAGATAAGACTAATTAATAAATAACTTCCTGTTTGCTACAAGAAATTTCTGCAAACATATCTATACTGGCAGTTTGCTCATCTAGGTAAACTGTTCTCCCATCAGGACAATAGATTACTCCCCAGATTAAAAAGCCCGCTTATCTGATCAAACAACAGTTTAGTTATCAAGACACATCTCTCCCTATTGTGTCTACCAATCCTAAAATATGTCCCCGACTCTGCCCAATACCAATCAGTTCTCCATTTTGAAAGACTTGCCTTAAATCGCTTTAGCCCAAACCCCAATCCCTATACATATTTTCTCTTGAACTCACTCTTCTAAGGTAATACATTAAGACTCTGTCACACCAATGCTATTTCTTATCGCAGTAGGTAGCTGTGTTTGATCAACACATTTTCTGATGGTCTTTTGGGGGAGCTGATAAGATCTACTAAAAGGTTGTTACCCACAACTTGAAAAATAATGTTCTAATGTATCTAAATTCTTGACTAGATTATGAGAATGAGGTTTTGTGGGGTTTTTTCCCCTCTTCCTTTTATAGTCATACAAATACAAAACATAATAAAGAGAAAAAGCATTATTAAAGACAAAGGAGGGGCCGGCCCGGTGGCGCACTGGATAAGTGTGCCGCTTGGGAAGCGCAGCGGCGCTCCCGCCCGAGGGTTCGGATCCCACATACAGACCGGTTCCCGCTCACTGGCTGAGCGAGGTGCGGGAGCAACACCGAGGGTTGCAATCCCGTTGCCGGTCCCCGGTCCGGTATGGGTGCAACACTGAGGGTTGCGATCCGTTGCCGGACACGGAAAAAGACAAAAGACAAAAAAAAAAAAAAAAGACAAAGGAGGGTCTGACATGTCTAATCACACACCTTGACTGGCCTAAATAAGGCATTCCTGCACAGACCATAATCATGACCTTGAATATCTATACTCGCATTCTAATCCAAGGCATCCCCTTAACTTAGCCTGTACACAGCCCAGGCAGGTCTAAATCTATAGCCACCTAGGCCTGGAAACACTCACCACTCACATACTTAATGCCCTGGATTCCTCCAGCACCACCTGGGCTTGCCCACATCCCGGCAAGGCCAGTTGACAGCATAGGGACAAAACAAAACCACAAAAACACAAAGGAGGAAATAAAAAAAAGTCAATTCCTTTCAGCTACCCTGAAATGAATATACCTAAAGCAACTTGGTTTTCAAATGTAAATTATAAAAGGATAGAGTAATGGATTTAATGGATCTTGGGACTAACCCCCCAATAAACAACAGAACATTATATATAAAAGTAAAACAAAAACATATAAAATTCCCAGGCCAGCTCTACAAAGTTAAAAACACCTGGAGATAGTTCTGACACAGAAGAAAAAGCACAACAGTTGGCTCCAGAAGATCTGACTTCATTTTCCAGCTTTTCTCTTTTTTAGTTAGGTGAACTTAGGCAAGTCACTTCACCTTTCTGAATCTCAAATTCCTCATCCACGAGTTAGGTATTTAACTGGCAAATATCTATATAAAGCACTATATATATACTAAGAGATGAAATAACTGTTTTTCATCATGTCTTACTTTGTAACATTAAGGTTTTTGCTTGTTTTGAGTCAATTGCTTACCTTCAGCTGAACTTTGTCTGAAGCAGAATGCTCTAAAGAATGAAATAAAAAGCTATGACTTACTACAAAAATACTTCATCTTTCATCATGGTCTAGTTTCATAAAAAGCAAAGTTGCAGTTTCTACAGAAGCTACCACATATTGTTGAGTTCTCAATTAATTACATTTCCAGTAGAAGGTGAATTATTACTATTAATTTCATGACTACTCCCATTATTGACAGCTATTTCCTACATTTCTATAGCATCCTAATATGAAAAAATGGAACCCTTTTTCACTTTTAATTAAGAAGTACACTGTTTAATCTAGTTGGAATGGATCATTCAAAAACAGGTTCTCCACAGTTCTCCACAAACTATGACTTCCAAACCTCAAAAGCTCTTTTTATGTAGAATTTACCAAAGCAACCTCAAGTAAATGAAAACAGGACTTAAAATTAGCACAGACATTTTTTTCTTTAATTGACTCCTAAATATGGGTACACTTAGGCACATAGGTTTATTAACTGCATTTTGCTGAATAAATTTTCAGAAAAGAAGAAAATATATAAAAATTCACTTAGACAAGAAAAAAAGTAACATACTGTAACTTGAAACAACTATGAAAACTCTTTTCAAAGAACTGAGATAGTTTTACCTTTGCTACTTTGAGGAATGTTTATCATAATTTCAGGATCATTCTTCAAACTGAATGAAACACTTTTTCTTGGTGTTTTTGCTAGTTCTGAAGCTATAAACAGACAAAGAAATATATAAAAACATTTTAATAAACTATAGCAGATAAAGAAGGAAATAGCCTTATTTCACTTATATAAATTCTTAAAAAAAAAAGAAAAAAAGCACCCGCCTGCTATTTTTATCAGAAGGATAAACCTACCCTTATTAAAAGCACTACTGCTTTCACCTTTATTAGCTGCCTTTCCAGCATCTTCAAATCTTCCTTCAATTATCCACACATTTCTCCAAAAAATACAAATAAAGAACTAACTTTGACCTTGCTGCTTCCTCCAATTATCATACTCTCCTCTCCATTGACAACTAATACTCCTTCCATTTCTTACCACGTATACATGAAGTACATCTTTGCTAGGAGATGAGAAAGAAGGGCTAGAAAGCGGGATCTAAAATCAAGTGAAAACTGTGCATGGTTAAAAAATTATACTTTAAAATCTCTTAAATCTGGGCCGGCCTGGTGGCGCACCGGAGAGTGCGCCGCTTGGGAGCCCAGCGGCGCTCCCACCAAGGGTTCGGATCCCATNGTGCATGGTTAAAAAATTATACTTTAAAATCTCTTAAATCTGGGCCGGCCTGGTGGCGCACCGGAGAGTGCGCCGCTTGGGAGCCCAGCGGCGCTCCCACCAAGGGTTCGGATCCCATGTGGAGACCGGTTCCCACTCACTGGCTGAGCATGGTGCGGGGGCAACACCGAGGGTTGCGATCCCGTTGCCGGTCCCCGGTACGGGCGCAACACCGAGGGTTGCAATCCCGTTACCGGTCAGTAAAAAAGACAAAAAGGAAAAAAAATAAAATCTCTTAAATCTCCCATAAAGTGTGGTATAATTTATTTTGTGTCTAAAAGTCTACAATATATATGAATAATGTATACAATACAATGTTAAACAGATGGCTGTTTTGTCAATTGAGCATCAGATGAAATAGTTGGCTTCTGTTTAGGGGCCATTTTTTTTTTTTTTTTTGTTTTTTTTTTTTTTTG